CCTTCATGCCATTCTTCTTCCAGGAAATGCTGCACCCACATCCCGCCAAAATGCCGAGGGGCACAATTGGCTCTACGGCCAAATTGGTGGAGATCATCACTCCAGCTTCCGTCATCAGCAATGGCGTTGTCCGGCCATCAGCCAACGACACTGACACTTTCTTCAGACTGTCAACACAGTCTGTCAGGGCGAGAGGCCTGAGAGGGTGAGTTGCTCCCGAATCGAGCAAGCCCCATTCTTCCTCCTTCTTAGACCCCACTTTTGCTTCCCTGACCTTGGTGAGCTTCAGGGTTTTGATGCTCCTTTTAATCTCATCCAGCTGTTGGTGAAGCTTGTTCATCTTTGCCTCCGATGTTTCTTTGTCTTTCATCATCCGGAGCATCTTGTTCGCTTCTTCCAACAGCTCATCCATCTTTTCGCCTTCTGTTCCTCCTGCACTCTTCTCATCATCCTCCCTTCTTCCCTTCTCATCCTCCTTCTCCTTCTTCACCTTAGGCGGGGACGTAGAGGAAGTAGGACTCACCGGATCCTTGGTCGGGCAATTCGGAGCGAGATGCTTAGTGGAGCCGCAGGAGTAGCATCTTCGTTGATCATCTTTGAGATCATGGGACCATCTACAGTCCTTTCCACGGCGACATCCCGAGTCGGTGAGGAAGAACTTGCAGGGTTGCTTGACCTCCATTTCTTTCACTTTTCCTTCAACATTCTTTCCTTTCTTCATTCCACCTTCATCCAACTTCTTCACCTTCGCGTCCTCCTTCTTTCCTCCACCTGCTCCTGCACTTCTCTTTTCAGCGAGGGCGAGCTGGTCAATCTCAGCAATGAGATGGGTGGCGAACTGGGAGACCGAGACCGGTGTTGGATTGGTGTCAACTTGAAGTGAGTTCCTGGCCAACGAGACCCGAAACCGAAGCCCTTCATTGGCTTCCAAAGTCCTTTTGGTCAACTTGTTGAGGCCTTTGACCAGGATGGATGGATCAGGCTCTGTTGCCCCGATCTCTTGGGCACGAGCCCTCCAGCGAAGCCACCTTCGAAGGCTGACCACCGTCTCGTGGAGGTTGCTCGGCTCATTCGGCTCTTCAAGGTTCCTCAACAACATTTGTTTTTCACTCACACCTCCAGGGCAGTAGGACAGGTGGAGGTGCGCCAAGATTGCAAACACCGAGAGGCGTTTTGTTGCGACCAGTTCATCACGCTGGCCTTCAGGAATCGCTTTGAGCAGCAAGGTGGCCATCCTCCTTTCCAACTTCGTCCACTTCGGGACATTCAAAGAAGCTGGGGCGACGGGCTCATGCTGAACACGATCTAGGGGTGGCATAGCTTGATGATCTTGGTACCATCGTTCAACTTCAAGCATCATCTTTTCCCACCACAAATCCGACGTAGCCGTGAGGTCGGCTACAACTGGTTGCACAAGTAAAAGCCAATCTCCAAGCTGGAGCTGTGAGGTGCTGCCTTGGATGCTCCCCAAAGCCGGGAGCTCTGCAACTTGTCTCACCACTTCGACACCTTTGATGGTGCCTTGACTTTCATGCCCCTCAGAAATCTGACGCTGAAGGGCCTTCATGCTTTCAACGAGCAATGCCATGACCTCCATTTGCTGGATCTCTGGCGAAGGTTTGGCTCCCCCCATTGTAGGCTTTTGGGCGGTCGATCTTGGATCCTCCTTGAACCCCTTTCCATACGAAGGACTTCTTCCTTTTCGCGGTGGGTCTTTGGATTGAGATCTCGACCCCTTTCCATACCTAGCTGGGTAGGTAGACCATGGAGTGCGTCCTCTGCCACCCAACATTTCCAAGACGCTGGGAGCTTCGGGCTTCGCTTCTTCAGGAGTGTTGAACGTCGATGAACTTCGAGGTGCATGACCTTCCTCCTTATCCTTTTTCTTTTTCTTATCTTCCTCTTGTTTTCTCCTTTCTGCATCCTCCAACCTCCACTCATAGAGCTCTTGTTGAAGGCGATCGTTTTCACGTTGTTGATCCTGACATAGGTTTGTCAGCTTCTTCATATCTTGTGAGATCTGCCATCTCCACATGATCTCCTCTTCTTGTTCTTCTTGAAGGCGGCTTCGACGGCGGCCTTGAGCTCCTTCAGAATCCTCATCATCACATCGCCTGAGCTCTTCACTTTCATCCTCCTCATAGCCTCCTGGAGCCCTTTTCTTTCCTCCAAACCTTTCTTCCTCTTCTTGAAGGAATGCAGGTCGTTGAAGGAGCTCCACTTGCTCTTCCGAGGACGATGGAGGCGGCGGCTTTCCAAACACCTGAGGTGCCATACGGGCGGCAGCTCTCGACTCTTTCAACTGCTCGTTCGTGAACAGCGGGGCCATTTGCTGCTGCAAAGGAACCAGGGGTGCCAAAGTCACCGGCCGACCTTTTGGATGCTCAGTCGAACCCTTTGCACTGGGCTTGGAACCACCACTACGAAACACTTCCATCTCCGTAGTAGGCCCAGTTGCGGAACCCGGTGGTCCTGTTGTAGACCTTGTGGGTGTCATCAAACCCTTTTCTTCCTTTTCATCTTTTTCCACCCCTTCTCTTTCCTTCACCTTTCCAGCCTCCTCTGCAGAGGCTCTTGCAGCATCCTCTTCTGGCGGAGGAAGAGCCAGCGAAGGGCCATGCTCCATCGATCGGCGGCGGCGAAGCATGCACGAGCTCGAGGGTGGTGCAGAAGTAGCTTGTTTTGGGCTCATAACCTGTTGATACCCTTCTGCGGACATGACCGAAAACACACGTTCCCAAACCAAATGCACAAAACAGATCCGCTGTTCTTTTTCAACGCTTCTCTGGTTGGGGTTCCTCCTTCGTGGGAGGTTCTCAAGGCCATCAGGCCCTCACAACAAAAAGGGCTGCGCGATGCAGTCAACCTTCAAGGAAGTGCGTGAACAGAAACATCTCCGACATGGGGCTTTTTAGGTCTCGGATCGATCCAACTCTTTTTCGACTTCGCAGAGAGACCGATTCCGTCGCGGAGTTCCGAATCCGAGGTTCATGGTCTATTGGCAGATGCACATGCCCCCCGTCCGGCCTGCTGCCGAAGCCGTTACCGAGCCTATTGCCAGTTGAGTGGCCAAGATGTCACGTGGTGGCGGTGCGAAAGAGCATGCCACGGTGCCAATGGCGAAGAAGCAATGGCTGTAAAGACCAGCGGTGAAGACCAATCGCACACACAAAGAATCGACCAACATGTTATTTGTTGCTAAAAGTGTTATCTCTATCAAGGAGGACACATCATGTTGGACCAAGCACTTGACCAGAAGCTGCCCTCCATGGTGAGACCACCCATCCTTTGGTGCTTAAGCACGAGACCACCCAGCCAGCCCACGAAAAATCCACGGGACGCCGTCTCAACCGATGGAGAAAGAGAAGCGAACCACGAAGACGTTGGAGATGTGGAGCAGATGCAGGTCCGTATGACCTTGTGACCCTGGCTGGGTGGACTAGTCTATCGAACCCAGCAGTCGAACTGGGAGGTCTTATTTTCATGCACGCAGTCATGAGTTGAAGAACCACGTCAGAATCCTTTGAACGTGCCCGACACTGATCCTGTAAATATATAGATGAATCGAATCTCATCTGAGCCCGGATCCGCCCTCCACTGTTTGGTGCTTCCCAAAGTCTCAGAACTTGGACCCGTTCCAGTTTGCAGGTCGTCTTGACCCTGACAACTTGGCTTTTGGAACCTTCACCAACATGTAGCAGTTGGTCCGGGTCCATAGATTATATTATATTACATTGTTTTCCACCGAACCACTCCTGCCGTTGGCCTTGCACGGGTCCCGCCGGTTTTCGGGCAGGTGCTCCCGGAAGGCGGGCCCGGGGCAGACCGGGCAGCTTCGGACCTGGCGAATTCATGAACCAACTGTACTTAGTCAGTGGATCACTTTTAGTTTTTTTTGAGGGAAACTTGGTTTCCCCACTGAACAAGAACAGGTTGAATCAGGTTAACCTTTATTGATTTTCCGGGGAAACTGAGGGAGTCAATAATAAGATCATCAAAATGGACATCACACTCCACCTGTTGCATCCAGAAGCATTGGTAGTCATTGGTAGTCCAGGGTTCGCCTACCATGCTTAGCATGGGGAGGGCAGGAAAGTTCTTGTTTCCAATTATGCTTTTTGTGGTTGAGCGAAGATACGTTAAGCAAGGGTAACTCCTAGACCATGTGATAGAGACTCCTCAGATAGACCTTTGCCGCAGATGGGGTATCCCTCTGCTAAGACTCTACAGCGCGGCAGGATGGACTGCCCATCAACAGTCGAATCTGCAAGTGCAAAGCCTAGGCCTTGGTTCTTTTGTTCAGGCGGATCTCCCGAAGCAACCAGGCGGCCACGAGTTCTCAACATGGGCCCGGTCTAACCAGTACCACTTGGTCAAAGATCATCATTCTTTTGGGAAATGCCGGCCTGCGACCGAATTCTAATCATCATCATCCACTGGGCCGTGGGAGGTTGGAAGATACCCAAGATCCAATGTTGAACACTCCAAGGCCACATTCTCATTCAGTTACATCTCTCGCTTCTGTCGGCTGCCTCGCTCTCATCAGCTCGCGGTAGCCGTCGGCATTGGACCATCAGTGCTGACATGATGACGTCGTACATCGGAAGTAGTGTACATGTACCAGGGCTACTATGTAGTGGTTAGATGAGGTATGAAGAATGCCCAAAAACATAAGGTCTACGAGTTCATGAGCTGCACACCTGGAATTTGGGTGTGTTCATGTCTGGGCCAAGACATGCCAAGACTAAACAGGGGTTACTCTTCGGGTAGTTTGATAAGATCTTGATGAAAGATCTCATTCATTCAGTCTTTTTGGGTTTAGTGTTACTTTCGACCAACTTGTGTAAGACTTTCGATCGTTCACCACTTGGCAACGACTTTTATCAAGTGGCTTTCCACCAACTTCAGAGATGTTTGTTTTTCACAGAACAATCGCACGGATCGTCCCCATCCCTCTCTCCAACCATCTCGTGGGCTGCCGGGCCGCCGGGTGGGTCACCATGTGGCCTTCACGCTGCCGGGCCTTGGCGGCGGCCAGCGCGGCCGCCTCGGGGAGCTTGCTGAGCTTTCCCATGCCGAGCGCACAGGCGCAGGCGCAGGCGCAGCGGGGCACGGGGGGCAGCACCGGGAAGTGCAGTTGGGGTGGGGGATGGTTAGTATTTGCATAGAAAGGACTTAGGAGGCAGAGCTGGAAGCAGGATTTGGGTTGGTTCTATTGGGTTTTTTAGGGCCCTTCGTTTTAACTGACCTCTTTCCCCCTGATGGTTTTGGGGAGCCAAGCACCGCCGGGGTCAACCACTTGGCATCGGTAGGAAGTGATATTGACTCGAGCTTCTCGGAAAGTGGCGCACAAAAACCATAGTAATCAACCTATTTATTAATGGGTGTGTTTTCGAACAGGAAGACCTTGGGGCCCTGACTGGGTAGACTGGTCTATATTTCTCTTGGAGGGAGTCGAACTGGGGGGTCTCCCCATTACAAACACACAGAAAACGCCATGGCGTCGCGACCGGTGCTCCTTGCTGTGCCGGGGTCGCAGTGGATCGGTTCTGCCAGGCACACGTGGACCACACCCAGACGAAGGAGAGTTCCTGAAGTGCAAACTGGAGAAGACTGGACTTGGGGAAGAGGTTTTTTTCCACCTCAAGTCCTGGGTGCGAGTGACGAGTCTGATGGTGCGCTCTTGACTGCTGGACTGGACCTGAGATCCTAATCCTAGTTGTGATTCCACGCTTGTGGGGACTCTTCTAACTGGAGTCCCAAAAAACCTAGCCCAAGATGCTGGTAGAAATTGATAGAAACTGGGAAGTGATTGAACAAAGCAAAGCACGAGGATCCAAGTAGAAGTCCCAGTTCACGTGGTTTGTGACAACTGGAATTGTGAACAAGAAGATACAGCAGGATCTCACCAAAAGGCTTGGGGGTGAAACACCGAGTCGACACTCCAAATCGATCCAATTGGAAGATAAAGCACACAGTACATTGTCATTGTAATTGGCTTCCCCAAAAGCTGAGCTTAACCAGATCGCTGGCAGCAGAAAGGGAAGACGAGTGAGGGCAGTTCCCTCAACTATCCCTGTGCCATCGAAGTGATAGATGGTTCAGCTTTGCAAGCTGCTGGCAAAGTCTATACATGGTGCCAGCCCAACATTCACTTGATAGGCCTAGGACGCGGATCGAAGAGTGATTCCCATTTGAGCCTCTAAGTCCGGACTGTACAGCGATTCCAGGATGGCTGGTTGAGGAGTCGCGAAGAAGAAGAAGAAGAAGAAGAAGAAGAAGAAGAAGACTAAGAAGACTGAACCATTCTCCATTTCTTGACCCCCTATGGCTATGGCTTCAAACCGCTAGGCCGGTTCCAGTCGGTCAACCCACCTTCCGACCCAACTCCACCGATCTGGGACCTGGACTCAAGAGGTTTGAGGGGCCTTGCACCCCAGAGTCGGAAAGGGGAAAGCTCTCCAACCTGTAAGGCCTCCATTGGGTCGCCCCTTTTTTGCGCCGGAACCGGCACCAGGAGGTGGGCTCGACGCAATGGCTGAAACTGCAAACCATGACCTATCGACGCTCGACTTCGGATGGTTGGACTCAGACTCTGAAAAGCACTGCCGGACTAGAGGACAACAGTTGGTCTCCAGGGTGCTGTTCGACCCAGGTCCTGGTTTTGCTTAATGCTTTTTACTGTCCCGAACTGGGTAAATCCATGCAAATCCCCATCTGGAAAACAATTGTCTAATTTTTTCCAACTTCCTTAATTAAGCAACTCCAAGGGGTCCATGTATGTGAGATTCCAAGAGTGTGTCGCTTCTGCTCGTCTATAGGATTCCAAGAGTGTCAAGCCTCCCGGACCCCCCCGATGGGTGGGTCCTGATTAATATGCTGGGTCCTTCAGGTCCTTCATTTGCGCCACACTCCCAAAACTCCCGGTCTCTCCTGGTACGAAGCTCTGAGTTGGAGGAGCTTCAAAAGGGTTCCTGCCCTCCTGAACATGAACATTGAACATCATTGACACCATTAGACTCTCCCATTCCCATTAATCTGTTTTGTTCACCTTTTTGCCTGGTCTGGCGCCCACTGAGGAGACGTACATGGCAAAGAGCGGACGTGGGATCTCGTCACCCGCACCACACGTCGACATTCGATGGCCACCGCGGGCGTCGATGCCGTGATCATCCTGCCCCTTCTGCGGTCCTCGTCACGGCCTGCTGTGGACACCCTGCTGGTGCCACGGTGACTCCGGGGGTTATGTGGGGTGAGGCCATGCCAGACCCGGCATATGAGATTTGGCTTTCAAATTTGATCAATGTTTCATGTTCCATGACAAGCTTTTAAGGACAGCCTGGTTTTGTGGGCATAGTGCCTTTGAGAGAATTGCTTATGTCATGTTGCCGATTGAACATGGATTGACATACGGTCGTACGGTGAGCAACTAGCTGTACCTCCATAGCCGAGTGCTAGAAGAGAACAAGTTACCAAAACCAAAACTGTTTCTTACCAGGACCTTTCAAGGGGTGTCTATAAATAGCCTCTTAAGGTTTAAGGCTAAGGTGATTCGGGGTGTCCAAAAGGATAGGAGAAGGAGGAGGGAGAGAGAGAGAGAGAGACAGAGACAGAGATGTGAGCAACAATATATAATGTGTACAATAGTTGCGAGACACCTCCCATATATGTACAATGACCTGCCACAATACTGCAGGCCTTGAGCTTTCAAGTTCAGAGACAACAATACCGCTACAAGTGCACAATTTAGAGCATCATTTTTGACATGGTAGCTGAGCTGTGATCCAACAAGGTGAGGGCTTGATCCTACAACCGTAGGGGGCTCACCACAAGCAGGAGCAAACAAACAGAGGCAACAAGGGCTTGATCCCAGAACCCTGCGGGGCCCATATATGTCCGGGACACCTTCAACAACAGTACCAGCAATGGCAACCATGCAGGAGACAGAAGCTGAAGCCTGAAGCCTCCCTTTTACAATGGAGACCGCAGCACGTTCGAAGAATGGAAGTACAGATTCACAATTCACAATGGGTCTCATGGACCAGGAGTACAATGATTTACTACGAAAGGCTGAGGAAGCAACAGGGGAGATGGATGCCGTAGATTTAGTATCAGCAGCCACAGCCAGAGAACAAGGAGACCAATGGGTACAATTGGCAGCAAACCTGAAATACATCCTGATCAACATAACAACTGGGGCAGCGGCAACGCTATGCAGACAGATTCAACAAGCCAACGGCTTCGAGATGTACAGACAACTGCTCCTCCGGTTTTCCATCCCGGTTGGAACAAGAAGCCTTGGTTACCTCACAAACTCCTCAAGCCGAAGTTCGACACAAACAACTTTGAGGAGTCCTTCCTGCAATGGGAGTTCGAGATCTCAAAGTATGAAAGGGACAACACTACACGGCTGCCGGAACAAGTGAAGATAGCAGTCCTTTTGAGCGAAATAACGGGACCACTGCAACAACACCTGCAACCCCTAGCGAGTTCCATCAAACGATACTCACAAGCGCGAAGCATCATGGAACACTACAGAACCACAACAGCATTCACCAGAATGCCACAAGCTGCGCTGGAGGACAAGCGCCAATGGATGTTGGAGCAATCGGCAAGGAAAAAGGAAAATACAAAGGAAAAGGCAAAGGAAAGCACAAAGGAAAAGGAAAAGGTTACAACAACTATGGTTACAATGGCTACGAATTCAACGAAGGAAAAGGACAGCAACTAGGATATGCGCATGAAAAATGCCGCAAAGGATATGGAGGCCATGGCAATGACGCCAACAAAGGAAAGAGCAAAGGAAGCAAAGGAGCAAAAGGAAAGGATGCAACAAACATTTACTACAAATGTGGTCGCTATGCCAAGAGCGAGCCAAATGTGTACAGGAAGAATACAGGAACTGTCTTCGTCATGGTCTACGTGGATGATCTGGCTTTGACCTTGAGGCATGACGGGACCTGGTACGAGACTGAAGATGACTTGAGGGTGGAGCAATGATGAGCGCAGACGAAAGGCTGAGTGTCAGACGCTTCCTGGCTGCTGTGCTTCCTTGCCGCTGCGCCGGACGCAGTCCAAAGTGGCCAATGTGTCAACCGGTGACTTCTGGAAAAGGTTACAAAGTGGGCTTTGATTTCTGTAAGCCACGCCAAATGTAGGCCAAAACAGCGAACCCGATATATATATATATATACACAAGCAGTTCCCGGGCAAGCCGGCGGGCGGAAGTTTCCTATAAAAGCAACTTGACCTACAGGAGTGTCCCTGCACACATGCCCTGCGGACCCCCTTTTTTCCCGGCCCGCCACGATGGCGTCATGCAAGCAGCCCACAACGGCGTAGTCTCTCTGGCACTGTGCATGCGGGTCACACACCACCGCACGTCGGAGTGAATGTAGTTACACAGGACTCCGAATTTGCATGTACAACCTGTCATACATGCGCAACCAGAGTCTTAACAATGAATGCAAGCGAAGACTGTAAGTATGAGCTGTGCCAAAAACTTCAACCATAAGTACAAGCTGACCCGTTAACAAACTAGACGACAGGGTGGCCCGAAAGCATAGTAGGAGTAAACATTACTATAACGAAAGGGTTGCAAACGAAAACGAAGCCATCAATCATTGTAGGGTTGAACCGCTTGTCGGTAACCATCAATCATCCCGTTCACCGGCGGCACGCCGCATTTACACCAGCATGATTCGCGCTCCCCAGTGGCACGGCGCCACGCACTCCCCACCAAGGCCGCGCAAATCCGCATGGCACTGCGACATCACGAACGTAATTTCGCCACACGGTCTGCCCACACACTAGAAGCAAACATATCACATGATACCACCAATCATCCCGCTCACCAGCGACACGCCGCGTTTACGCCAGCATGTTTCGCGCTCCCCAGTGGCACGGTGCCACGCAAACGCACTTTCCACCAAGGCCGCGCAAATCCACATGGCACAGCGACATCACGGACGTAATTTCGCCACACCGTCTGTCACAGACTAAGAGCAAACACTTCTGAGTCCAGCTCCGCAACGCTGTTTCCCGCACTACATTTGTACTACAAACTGGCCACTTCTGAGTCCAG